CAGATACATTAGATATCAGATCAGTTAGATATTGGTATGTTAGATATCACAGTATATGCTGTGATATAAATTGTTTTAATGCATTTTTCTAATAATAAGTATATCAAAGCTGTGATGGTCATTTTTACCTCAGATATTATACTTGTTAATGTATGCAGTTAAGTTTTAATGCCCAATTTTTAGATCATCCATTAAAATGCTTTGCACTTAATGATTAGATCCTCTCACTAATGATTTCATGAATTGCCAACACATTATATGGTCGATACAAAAATGCACAATCTATCCCACAAAATTAGTTGTGAGAGCAAAAGAGTTAATGCAGTGTTGTTTAGCTAGAAATGTTTGTCCATATCCTGATAAATATATATGTATAATAAAAACAAAAAGTATTAAACAATGTAAACATAAAGTGCAATGGATGATGTATCTGTGCTATAAACTATATATGAAGTTTAAATTTGACAATTCTGTCAAAATGTAACTTCTTGGAGGAGGGAGGTAAGTATGTTTCCTGTGCCGCTTAGCGGATTCTAAGAGAGCCAAGTGCCATGATTGATTAATAGTGTCTGCCATGGATACTATAAGGGTGAGTGGTAAATTGCTGCCCTGTGTTCGCCACTGTCCCTGTCTTAAGAGAAAGGAAGCAAGCTTTGCTAGCTTACTTCATTGTTGATATTTGAGGAGGAAGAATGACTGGAGCAGAGCTCTGAAATGAGGGCTTGCTATAAAAGAAATTTTTTTTTTTTGCGAGTGTATAAACATCCTGAGACGACTTAAGTGGAGAAAGATACGATTAGGCTAGACCTTTTCACTGTGTCTTTGTTTGCTTGAGTTATTTATTGCCCAGGACATGGTAGAGTTTTTAAAAAGTGTTATTGATATGGACTCTGGAAAAAAGTAGGCAGATATTTCAAGGTATTTCAAATGTATCACAGTTTCTAAGGAGATCAAATACCTCTTCAAAGTCTCATGGATTTTTTAAACATGAAATGTTCCTCTTGGCGGATAATAGGCTCCAGTGCTCTAGGTTTCTAGCCTTCCATTCATTAACAGCAAAACTGACTTGTAGCAAAATCTTTCCCCCACCCCGCTACAAGCAATTTGTGACTGCTTTTGGGGAAATGATAGTTTAAATATAAATAAATGGCCAGCTCCATTGGAAAGATTCCAGTTTTCTCATGGTGTTTGCTTTCAGTTTATTGTCAATTCTTTCATCACAACTTCCTTCCCTGAAATGTGTAGGCTAGCCCCATTAAAATACTTCTTGTTTTAATATATTAAAACCATGTCATTCCCATTAAAGATATTGCAAAGTGGCTAAAATGGAGTTTACCCATATTGGGGGAACTGTTTTAGCATTTTCATATACGGTGCTACAAGCAGTGACTTGAGATAATGAAAACAAAAATCCCTGACCCAGGAATTTCTATGCATTTTGAATTAATCAAGGCATATTTCCTTAGTATTTATATTTCACAAACACCTTTCATTTGGATTTGGCTTATTCTGTTTAATTTAGCCTGTACTCCCATGACATTTACATTATTTTAAATCTAGTAATAAATTGATTTTACTTTGGATTTCCATGAACTGCCATTTATGTTTCATTAATTTTTGGAAGCAAACAGTTTCTTTTTTTTTTTTTTTTGAGAAGATATACAATCTGAAAATGGACCCGTCTCTACATGTGTACATAAATAGATGAATACAGAATGCACAGTGCAGTTCTAACTCTCTTTTGTAATGGTGAGCCTGGCCTTTACAAACTAACATCTTAAGACATTTACTGTGTTAGATTCAGTTAATTCAGTGTGTGCTCTAGCCTCTCACATTAGTTTTGCATTTTTTGACCTTACTAGTTTGTTTTGGCTATTGTGCTTTTTTTTTTTTCCATGAATCAAACTGTTAAGTCTAAACTGCTAAATCTATCAGTTTCTGATTTGCCCAGGAAGTGTTCCCCATTATCATAAAGGATAAAGAATTCTTAATTGCTTAGCTACTCCCTAGATAGTCAAGGCTACTTTCTTTTCAAGTTATTTCTTGATGTTGTCATGTCTTAGATTATTAAAAGGATATTGATTTTTATCTTGAAAGTCTTATATAATAATAGTTTCAGTAAATTTATTTTTTAGATTTTTACCTAGGGGGGGGAAGTAGACTTAATATTTCTTTAAAATTTTATTAGCTCTCTCTCCCCCCCCAAAAAAAAAGCAAAGGTTATTGTTCTCTCTGATAAGTAGATATCTCTCTTTATAAAAACAGAGTCTAGATAGCATGCCCACTATGAAGCTTATTTACCCTGTCCTATCCCTACCTGAATCAGAATAGATTTACTGTTTCTTTTGTTCCTTGGACACCTCACATCATATTACAAAACTTATTGCAGAGTATTATACTTTTTAGTTTACATGACTTCTTTTGTCTTTGCACTGTGAGCTCTTATAGTTCTGCACCTGTATGGATTTATGTGTGTATACCCAGCACTTACGAGCAGTGGATGGCACAAAATAGAGATTCAGTAGGTGTCTGAAGAAATACTTGGAGATGGAGAAATGTCGAGGTAGAAAGACAAAAGGGTAGGCTGGATGAAAAGGGGCCAATGAGAATTCAGCGTTTCAAGAGATGTGTTTGCACTTCTGAAAGATTATGATTAAGCTATTCACTCATATTCTGTTTCTGTTGCAACTGAATTGGTGTTGCAATGTAAGTCCACCTTTAAGGAAATAGCATGTAACCTATGACATGAGTTTTCAGGAATATCCAGATGATTATGCAAGTGTCAAGACAGTCATTTCAAACACATTTGGTGGTCTTCAGCTTTGAAGTGATAAAGGAATTAGGCAACATAAGTATTGATTAAATGACAAGAAAAGCCAGAGTTCAGAAAATTCTTCCTTCTAGTCTTTCCATTCATTAAAAAAAAAAAAAGAATGATGTGGAAAAGAGAAATCTGATTTTGTATTAGAAGTTGAATGGGGTTAAGAAGAGTGAGAATAGAGGTAAGAGGAAAAAAAAACAAAACAGAAAATGCCTTATAGAAAGAGCTCTCCCACCCTTATTTGCTTTTCATGGACTGTAATAGAACAAGATGTGAGGAAACATCTGTTGCCTTTTTTAAAATAGTACTTTGATATTTTAAAAGAATGGTGACAGAATTAGGAGAATTCTAATTTCTATGGCAAGGGACAGCAGACACCTATGGGATGGAAAAGGCACAGTTAGGCTAGAACAGCACAAAAGATGTTTGGATAGAGGATTCTCCTTCAAAGCATGCTTTTTGGAAGCTGTGTGATGTAATTGTCAGAGCATGGGCTCTGGATAGACTTTCTGAATTTAAATGTTGGCTTTATCACTTATTGCAGTGTGACCTTGAGCAAACCATGAGTCCTCTAAGTCCCAACTGGGATCATACTATTACCAATCCCAAGAGTGTTTCTTTCTTTCTTTTCTTTCTTTTTTTTTTTTTCTGGTGCTGGGGATTGAACCCAGGGCCTTGTGCATATGAGGCAAGCACTCTACCAAATGAGCTATATCCCCGCCTCCCAGGGGTGTTTTCTGAGGTTGAATGAAAGAAAGAAAACTTGAGGAGTTGGTCCAGAGACAAGTACATTAACTCATTTGCTAATTGTAGGCTCTTGTTTTTAAAATGAGCTGTAAATGAACAGTTTCTTTTAGACTAGATATAGGAACTTAATGCAATCATCAAAGAAATTGAAATATCCTCCTAAACAGGAAAAGATTTACAGGTCTTTTCAGCAAAAACAGACATCTATGTAATGTAGGCTGGCTTGAGGAAGAACTGAGCTGCGGTTGCCTTTGGAGGCCATTTTAAAGCCAGCAAGGCAAGCCCAGATATAGGCTTAGAGCATTAATTAGAGTAGCAAAGCCCAGCCTAACAGAACAGATGGTTAGAGCTGAGTAATTAATATGCTTCTCAGAAACTGGGCAAGTATAAGAGAAATTAGTGGAGATCAAAATTTGGGCTCCATTGTCCTGAGGATGCCAAGAAGGACTAGGAAGGATTAAACACTGGGTTGAGACAAACTCAAGACCAGAGGTCGAGGCAAAGAGTATATTTAGGATCTGAATCATGGGATTGAAAAATTCAGACCAGGTGAGATAGAGATACTCATGAAATTAAGTCATGAGGTTAACAGGATGTTGATAGGTTTAAGGACAGTTCTCCAGGTGGGCTAATTATAGATAGTAACTGAAAAATAACAGCCCAGAAATTAAATAATATTTTGAAGGATTAATGCTATATAGTAGGTTCAGATGCTGAGCTTTGAAGAGAGGTGTGTTTTTGTTCTAATCCCAACTATATATTACTAAAGGAGCAAGTTAACATTACAGAAGCTTCAATTTCTTCACCTGTAAAATGAGGGTAATAATACCTACTTTAAGGATTTGGAAAATTTAATTGCAAAATTTAATTAAAAGAATTAAGGCACCTAGTAAGTGCTCAATTTTTGTTATTATTAAAATTTCATTTGCATATCTTGTTTGAAAATGCCACTGTTATAGTATAAATTACCAAATAGAATGCAATTATAATAAACAGGGGTTCCTAAACCTTGTATGAAAATTTTTTGCCATATAACTTTGCTCTTTCTCATGTCTCGTTTGGGGAAGTGAAGTGTAGTAAAAACTAAACCAATTGAAAACCAGGTCTTGGAATCATTTTGGACAAACATAAAGAAAACCATTTTAAAAATAAAATAACTCATTATGCTTTAAAGTTACCTAAATTACAAAAGTGAGTATAGTAGCAAAGGGTGAAGTTTATGTTTTTGGAATTCACCACTTTAAAATGTCACATTTTGCATTAATAATCTTAGACTGATCATATTGTCTGTGCGATTTTGTTCTAGTTGGCTGGGTTCCCTTGCCTTCTCATTTTACCTTTCCCCAAACTCAAGATCTACATTAGCAGGTAGCTTGAATGAAGTCACTGGCTTTATAGTGGAGAGCTATCTCACTCTCAACCCATGTATTAGGTTTATTCACAGGATTCCTGCATCAGGCTGGGAGAGCACATGGGTTCTGGAGAAGAGACAGGCTCTCATTTTTTTGCTGCAGAATTAGACACCATCTATCTGAAAATGGAATCTGTGGTAAAAATCTCCAGATTACTTGTATCCATCTCTTTGGATCTGCTCAAGACTCACTCCCAAGACTCACTCTCCAGAATCATTTAATAATATAATAGACATATCTTGTCCTATTCTATTTGTACTAATTCAATTACCACAAAATAAATCAACCAAACTCTCTCTGACATATCATTTTACCCTCTTTACCCATAGCACAGAATAGATTGGACTAACTTTATGAATGAATGTTACTCCTTTTTGAAACCTGACAGACTTTCGGGAAACTATCATTTGGATCCGAGAGGTATGGGGGGTGCGGGTAGAGTGGTGTTCTCTTGTTGCTTCTACCACATTCATGACTGACGTGCTCCTGATTGTCCCAACATTTTCCTGTCTCATCTTTGCCCTTCATTATTTATACTTCTACCTGGTGGTTGAATGAGAAAGATGAAACAGTGAAATTCAGTCAGATAACTAGCTCTGATGTTACAAGCTAGTAAATCAATGGTGGAAGTCCTAAAATCATTGGATAAAATAAGCCTTCAGATTGTCTTTGGGTTTCATTAATCCAGTGGTTTTCAAACTTTGGCATGTTATCAGAATCCCCTGGATGGCTAGTTAAAACAAAGATGTAAGTCTTTGATTCAGTAAAGCTTTGGATTGGGCCTGAAAAATTCTACCAGTTCCCAGGCGATACTGATGCTGCTGGCTTAGTGCTCTCCCTTGAGAACCACTGCACTAAATCCATGTTTGGCCTCTCCTGTTAACATGAATAATCTGGGATTTGCTTTTTAAGCTAACTCTAGAAAATTAGGCTGTATAAATGAAACATCATGGGTTAAAAAGTTATTTGGGTATATGTGTACCTTGTACCATGGTCTGTAAGCATTTGGTTTAAAGGAGTCAATTATATGTCAGTGAATTGTGGTTCTGGAAGTATCTTTGCTTCTCTATATTATGTAGGGTCGATATAGTACTGACCTTTAATTTTTTTAATCATAAACATTCCTTCTTTGGTATTACAAAGGGTTCATATGTACAAAGCATCTTCCACTATTTTCCCAGTGATGAGACTCTATGAACATTTTTGGTGCTGGAAGAGTTGAGCTCATTTGATTACCATAATATTTTTAACCCAGTTCAACTTTTTTTTTTTTTCTTAAAAAAGCTTTAATAAAGAAAATGGAACAAAGAAAAGCCAGAGTGGTGTTGGATTCAACTTCTTTTGACCCCAGTCACTGCATGGAACACATTTTTTTTTTTTTTCTCACAAGAAATGATAGGAAGTTAAAGTGAATGTCGTTCACATCAGTGGGGGAGCCACAGGGTTTAGTGCCTCTCAGCTTAAACACTACTAATCACCCAGCCCTCAGAAGGTTCTGTGCCTCATTTTCCCATTCTTTAATGCACTTATAGCCCATGACTTACAGGTTATATAGCAAGCATTTTTTTTAACTGTAAAGGATACCTTTCCTTATTTGATATTATAAGAAGTTTGATGAATGATCAAATGAGGTTGGAGTAAGACTTGCAGTCCACCTTTTCTTTCACTAGATCACATGTAGAATCCTGGAGGAAAGGGAGTTTGAACAATGTCTGGTTCAGGCAGTGAGACTGAAAGAAGCATCAGACAGACACTGAATGGCCTGATACACCCTATGTGGCACTCTAACTAGTAAAGTGCAGGAAAGAAGGAATCTAAACATCCCTGGTCTGGTGTTGGGTCTCTAAACTTATTTGCAAATTGGGACTTGTCATCGCTTGCTTGCTTCTTTATTTATTTATTTATTATGGGAACTGAACCCAGGGGTGGTTTACCACTGAGCTACATCCCCAGACTTCTTAATTTTTATTTTGAGACAGGGTCTTGCTAAGTTGCTTAGGGCCTTGCTGAGTTGCTGAGGCTGGCTTTGAATTTGCATTCCCCCCTGTCTTAGCCTCCCGAGTCTCTGGGATTAAAGGCATGTACCATCAAGCCTGGCTGTCAGAGAATTTTAAAAATCTCCAACCCAGTATAGTGACAGTGTGGACTAGTAGTATAGTCTTCAAGTACTTTGCTACTTAAGCTATGTAAATTTCTGCAAGTTACTGGACAATCTCTCACTGAAAAAAAAATCAATGATAATAATACCTCCTTCTTCATAGAGTTGTTGTGAAAGTTAAATAGGGAAATACTTGAAAAATTCTGAGAACAGTATTTGGCACGTATTAACGAGGGGATATGGGGATCTTGCTGAATGCTGGCTAAACCTATAAGATTCTGACATAGTTATTGATATTATTATAGGAGATATTTTCATGACCTAGAAATAGTTAAATGGATAATACAAGCTCAATTTTAAAAAAGCCAAACCACTCTGGGATTCTTCCTGTGCTTAGCTCCTTTCATCCTCACCAAACCCAAGCTCAGGATGTAGAAATAGTCATAGCTAGGTAGGAAGATACAGAAGTAGGGTCATATCATTGAAATGTAACCCTTTATGACTTTTTATTCCTCCATGTCTAGCAAATGCTTTTCAAATATTGGGTAACTGTCACTATTACTAATAAGCCTAATATAATATATCGCTCTTTGGAACAACTTATGTTTCTTTGGAATTTGTATATGCTAAGAAGAAGGGTTTGTCTTTAGCGGTATTGAGATTTTAGAAAGTTAGGTATCATAGAGAAACTTTTTATGTTTGTTTACTTTGAGATCAGATATAGGAGAAGACAGGTGGCTGATTTATAGTCTGTTCCCTTTCTCTTGTAAGAATTTGCTTATTTTCAGCAATACTGTTTGCTTGAACAAGCAAAACATTGTTTTGTGAAACTGCACTACCTTCTTGTGAATTGGGGGCCTCGATTAACCAAGGTATGTCTTATTCTTTTCCTACTCTAGCTGGACAGTGCTACGTCGCTTATCCAGGCAGCTAAAAACCTGATGAATGCTGTTGTCCTCACGGTCAAAGCATCCTATGTGGCCTCAACCAAATACCAGAAGGTCTATGGGACAGCAGCTGTCAACTCACCTGTTGTATCTTGGAAGATGAAGGCTCCAGAGAAGAAGCCCCTTGTGAAGAGAGAAAAGCCTGAAGAATTCCAGACCCGGGTTAGGAGAGGTTCTCAAAAGAAACATATTTCACCTGTGCAGGCTTTAAGTGAATTCAAAGCAATGGATTCCTTCTAGGACGATTGGCTTTAACCAGAAAGATTTTCCTTTCTTTTTAGTTTTCTTTTTCCTTTCTTTTTCATTTTAATTCCATTTTTGTATGCATACCTGCCAACTCGTATGCCTCTGGCATGGGGAAATTAAGAGAGCAGTGTCTGTTTGCATGTAAGATGAGATGTGATCAATACTACTGATCCATCTGTAGCCTGGGGAGGAGGGGACAGGGGGATTCCTGTCCTGAGGTGGCACAGAGCTGTCCTTTGTAACATTCTCTTAAAAGTTGGACAAAGAGTTCGCATTGCAATGTTTACGGGAGTGGGAGGGATGGGGAAAAAATAAACTTAACTCTACAAAAGCAAACTCTAATGCATGCAAGAATCATTAGGTTGGCAGGTATATTCATAAGTGAAAAACCTGGAAGTGTAATGGTAGAACATAAAACTTGTATTGCTTCTGTTTCAGTGCAAACATGTACTAGCCAATACGCTTAAGTGTGTGGCCCACAAAATTGAACAATTGAACTTTGACGTCATACCCATGATCTTATGTGGATTCTTTTTAACTGAGGAGAAACTAGTCCAGCCTAAAATGCTTCTTTTAATCTGTATTCTGTTCTTTCTCTTCTGATAGTGCCATTACTAGTGCTCATGTTATCATTTTTTCCCCTTTACTAAAAATAATGAACATTTATTTGAGATAATTAAAATCCTTCTGGGGGCACTGGAAGCACAATATGGTGACTGATCTTTCTTTCTTTCTTTCTTTTTTAAAATACGAACTATGATTTTGCTAGAAATAGAAGGCCCAGTGGTGGAATGTTAGAGGAATAAAAACTGACAGTGTGTGAAGGTTTAGAGGCAAATACATAGGTGTAGCTTGGAGTGCTGGTATCTAATATACCATTGTATTCACTAACTCAAAATAAACACATTTAATCTTGATATCTGAAGAATGTCTTCTCTTTTTTTTTGTTAAATGTGTACTTAATAAAAGATTAAGAGAATCCTTAAAAAATGGATTTTAAATGCTTTTTGTTTTGGTTTTCTTTTACATACTAGGGGTAAAATAGGTGAAATATAAATCATTCGGTCATTTTTGATGTCTAAAAATTTCTTTTGTTTTACTTTGTGGTTTGTTTTCCCATTTGTTTTTCATTCAATTTCAAATGGAATCTAAAATAAGAAATTCTTATATTAAGACTTTTCTGGGCCATGCTTGGCCCTGGGCTAAAATTGAAAAACTTAATATGTTCTCAGAGAGAATGATAATCCAGTTTTTAAAAAAGAGAAGCCCATTAATTTCAAAATTTTATTTACTTAGAATTTTTTTTTCTCTCAATTGGGAAAACAGAGCCTCTGTCCTATAACTAAGAGGGCATATATGTTATAAAGTGGGGGAAAGCACCCAATGATTCTCTTGAATAACTGGAACTCCTCATTAGAATGATTCCTACAAGTTATCCAATATTATCTGTCTCCAGAAGGTTCCTGGTAAAACACACATGCATTTCTTAGCAATGTAATAACACATGGGGAAATCAAGGATGCCTAAGGAGGGAGGAGCTTGGGGCTGGGGCTGTAGCTCAGTGGTAGAGTACTTGCTTTGCACGTGTGAGGCACTGGGTTCCATCCTCAGCACCACATAAAAATATATTGTGTTTATCTACAACTAAAAATATTTTTTAAAGGAAAAAAAGAAAGGGAAGAGCTTAATCCAAAATCTCCTTTGGAAATGGTCTGTTTAAACTACTGCCTATCACTACTGCAACCTACATTAAGATGGGGAGGTGGTTTTTAATGGAAGAGCCACCTGACTTTGAGTATAGAATCATTTTTTGGGGGGGGGAGGGAAAAATGTATTTTACTAACATAATTATTTTGAATCACAATATAATGTAGGAAAATAACTAGAAGAAGAAAGATGTCCCCCAAGACCCTATTGATGACAGTGTGTAGGTTTATGGGCACTGGGCCATTGTCCTGGGCTTTAATCCAGGTATTCTGTCTTCTCTGTCTTCAAGTTCCTACTCCAGCATGTGCTTTTTAACAGTACATACTATGATTTTTAAAGTACATATGAGTAAATTTTCATAAAATGTTTATCTTAATCATTGCCTGGCACAGAGTAAACACTGCAAGTTCATTGTTCTGTTATATCTCAATTAACACAAATGTTATCACAGTTGGATAAATTTCTTTCAGTTTTTAAGGTCTTAAGCATTATTTTTCTTTTTTTTTTAATTTTTAGTCGAATTTTTAAAAAATAAGTGACAGAGGAATGCATTACAATTCTTCTTTTCTTTTTTTTATTGATTTTATTTTTTAAATACATGATAATGGAATGTATTATAATTCTTATTATTCATATAGAGTACAATTTTTCATATCTTTGTATATAAAGTATGTTCAAGCCAATTCATGTCTTTATACATGTACTTTGGGTTTTTTATTTTTTGCATTTGAATTCTTATTACACATATATACCACAGTTTTTCATATCTCTGGTTGTATATAAAGAAGGTTGACACCAATTCATGTCTTCATACATGTACTTTGGATAATGATGTCCATCACATTTCACCATCCTTGCTAACCCCCTGTCCTCTCCCTTCCCCTCTGGTTTAATTCCCACCCCTCCGTCCTATCTAGAATTCTTCTATTCCTCCCATGCTCCACCTCCCCACCCCATGATGAATCAGCCTCCTTATATCAAAAAACATTGGGCATTTGGTTTGGGGGGGATTGGCTAACTTCACTTAGCATTATCTTCTCCAATGCCATCCATTTACCTGCAAATGCCATGATTTTATTCTCTTTTAATGCTGAGTAAAATTCCATTGTGTATATCTCTCACCATGCGTAAAACTCAACTAAAAGTGGATCAAGGACCTAGGAATTAAACCAGAGACTCTATGTCTGATAGAAGAAAAAGTAGGCCCTAATCTTCAACATGTGGGACTAGGCCCCAACTTCCATAATAAGACTCCTATAGCACAAGAATCAATAAATGGGATGGAATCAAACTAAAAAGTTTCTTCTCAGCAAAAGAAACAATCTGTGAGGTGAATAGAGAGCCTACATCCTGGGAGCAAATTTGTACCCCTTATACATCAGATAGAGCACTTAATCTCTAGGGTATATAAAGAACTCAAAAAGCTAAGCACCAAAACCAAATCAACAAACAAACAAACTAATAACCCAATTAACAAATGGGCCGAGGAGCTGAACAGACACTTCTTAGAAGAGGATACACAATCAATCAACAAATATATTAAAAAATGTTCATTATCTCTAGCAATTAGAGAAATGCAAATCAAAACTACACTAAGATATCATCTCACTCCAGTCAGAATGGCAGCTATTATGAAGACAAACAACAGAAAGTATTGGCGAGGATGTGGGGGAAAAGGTACACTCATAAATTGCTGTTGGGACTGAAAATTGGTGCAGCCAATATGGAAAGCAGTATGGTGATTCCTTGGAAAACTGGAAATGGAACCACCATTTGACCCAGCTATCCCTCTCCTTGGTCTATACTCAAAGGACTTAAAAACAGCATGCTACAGGGACGCAGCCACATCAATGTTTATAGCAGCACAATTCACAATAGTTAAACTGTGGAACCAACCTAGATGCCCTTCAATAGATGAATGGATTAAAAAACTGAGTATAGAATCATTAGATAACTGATAACTAGTCTGCTCCCTTGCATAAGCTTTCAGAATGCTAACAGAGGCACTCATTCACTAGTAAATATTTAAGGAAGGTCTTCTTTGAGCCTGGTGCTGGGCTGAGCACACTACCTAGTAAACTTATCATGGAGGGATGGAGGAAGGCTTCCTTACTAGTTGGCACATAGTAAGGCATAGTAGCAACTAACATGCCACTTTGACCCATTGGCCAGAACAACAAAGTGTATTCTTAGTAGCATATTGTCAATTCTGAGAAATCCGAACTTCTTGGAAACAGCAGTAAAAATACTCTTTTGAGAAGCTTTTCCCTTAAAAAAGATACTCATTCTGTTTTTCTGCTTCCTGAGAGTTTCTTTAGAAACCGGGAAATCTCTTTTTCACCTTTGTCTACAGGATTGAAGCCAGTAAAGAATGCAAATAATATCAACATAGTGGTGATGATTGTGTGGAAAAAGTAAACAACTATTTATAGATCCCCAAAGAAATGTAATTAGCACAATTAAGTCTTCTGGGTTCAAACATTATTCTGTTGTTTGCTGGGCCAAAGGAAGTAACTGTTCTTCAGACTAACCAAAAAAACTTAAAATTTAAAAGCTTCTTGGCAAATCCTGATAAATAGCCAACAGGTATCAGAAGAACATGTAGAGAACGCCCTTGAACTTTGGCTCATAAAATTTTATGTAGATATTTAAATGCATTTTTATGAACAATGTTTATGTGTATGTTTTTGGAAATGAATCTCAATTTTGCTTAGTCCTTGGTTTCAGTCCTTACTATTGCCCAAAGCCTAGGTCCTTGTCCCTGATGCCAATACAATAATGAGGACACCGTTTTGAGATAAAGGGAAAAAGAAGGTATATTGCTTTGCCAGCAAAGGAGAGACACGGGGGACTCCTATCCCAAAGGCTGAGATTCTGCCTATCAGTAGGAAACAGGGGCTGTTATAGAGATGGCTCAAAGGCTCATTCCATGTGTTCTCTGTCTGGAGTGGCAATTCACTTGTTAATTTGGGAGACAGTCATTTCTGAGATCTTCTGGTACCACCTCCAAAGTCTGGATTACTTTGTTCCTATAGTGGGTGTGTACTCAGGGACAGATTAATGTGCCTAAAATTAGAAAGGTACTCCTATTTCCTTTGAGATTAGGGAGGAGGAGAGATTAGAGAAGAGCAAGGAGAGAGAAAGAGAAAGAAACATGTCCATTTTAAAAAATAAATTGCAGTGGCAGAGCAGCAAGGGCTCTATTCAAGGAATAAAGTAGATGACTATTCCATTACCAAGCCAACATCACTATCCTTCCCACCATTGCTCTTGTGATCAAGGAAAGCATAAAAATGATACAAAGAAACTTAGAAGGCAAGTTTTTGACACTACAGCAATAAAAACAGTTGGTGAATTTCCTGTTCTTGAGAAACATAGTCCAGCTGGAAAGATATTATATAGATAGAAAAAAAGAGAGAAATAAATAGAAATAATCAAGTAAACCAAGAAATTATACTCAAAGTGCCAAATGAATAAGAGAGGGAAATAACACTGGGTGGAGCTATAGAAATCAGAACTTACTGGAGACTACAGTATTTGGAGATACATTAAAGGAAGAAGTAATATTTATAAATGAGTAAATAATAAAAATGTTCTCAAAGAAGAGAAGGTATAAATGAATGGATTTTGTAGGAGGGATGACTGAGGTGGGAATTGAAGGGGGAAAAAAAGAATGGCATACTCTCAGGTTAGAAAACAAGTGCAATCACAAGAGAATGTGGGAGTCCTGAAGAGGATCAGTGGGATTAGGGGATGTGAAATCATAGAATGAAGCCCAACTGGGAGGTCATGAAGAAGTGTGACCATTATCTAACAGGTAATGTGGAGCTTTCATATGAGATGGCAACACAAATACATTCTGATACTGGTCAGAGGGGCATCTCTGATAGAAATGTATGAGGACAAACAGTAGATAATGGGGCAAGAAAATAAGGATATTATTTTCTTTGGTGAGATAAGAGAGAAATCTGAAGAATATCTAAACTGTTCCACATTAAGAAAGGTAGTATAGTATGTATGAGGAGACACAGAATAAGTAATTGATCCCAAGCAAAATGGAGTATTTCCTAAAGAGGCAGTGATTTTGGATGCAAGATAATGAATATGTCTGATGGGAGAAAACTAAAAAAAAAAAAAAAAAAAAAAAAAACTCAGTTTCTTTTACTTCACTCTTCTAGAAAAAATCTTTATATTCTTTTAAGGGCCTGGAGTATTCAG